TCTTATATTCTAGCTCGTTAATATCGGTAATTTGAGTATCTAATTCATAAGAAACTATAGATTTTGTATTTGGACATCAAACCATCTAATTTGAACCAATGCTACACTCAACATACCACGTGACTCACAAAAATCGATATTTAGGATTTTTTTTAAATATTTACTATTAAATTAATTAAAAAAATAACTAATGTTTAACAGTAACATTTTAATTATAATCTACAATTTGATACCAGTTTGATAGTAGTTCAATGAAATTTTAAGTGGTTTGTTTGTTTACAATTAAACACAAAGCTACACAATGGGCTATCTGTGCTCTGCCCACCACGGGATTTTAAATGGAAGTCTACTAACGCAATGACATGCCCTTTGATCCCTGACCATAGGAAGTCCTGTAGCGATAGGGATAAGATGTCCATAGCAGGATTAATAGTGACCCGCAATTTTGCCCAACATTAAATTTTATCTCCCAAGTCTTACGGTATTTACTTGGGAAATATTTTTGCCCTTGGCTTAGTTTAGGATATGATTATTTGTTTTAGCGCAAAGCTACATATTGGATTTTATGGGTTAACTTACCACTAACCCAATTTAACAGTTAATGTATGCTGAAAAGTGTCTATGTTAAAAGAGTCTGTATCAAGCAAAACTTCCTCATCGTATTCGATGACGAGGAACCCACTTTGAGACTAATAATGGCTGGAGACGGCTTGAATGGGTAATGAAGAAATAACAGCAAATGTACAACGTTTCGACAAGGTTTTGTCATTATCAGGTACCTTTTTTTTTTTTATTGTGTGTAGACTTCTTTTCTTGATTCAGCAATGAGTTGTTTTGGTTGATAGCGCGTTGTATATTGCCGTAATCATCTGGTTTGAGGTAGCAGGCTAGTTGGTGGTCTAATTTCTGTTTGAGTTTTTGTAAATAGTCCAGTTCTTGATATATAATAACAAAACTATATAATATATGATGTACAGGATAGACACGTATACTGAGCTGTATTCTCCTCTTAGGATTACACCAAGTCCCAAGGATTTTATTACCGTCGTACAGAGGAAATTGATATCTGAAGTGAATTTTTATGACGTCACTATATCTCATGATCAGAAGTTGTTGAAAATATGGATCTAGCTGACATGTGACGTTAGAGGTTTTAGTTCACTTCTATAATACAACAAAGGAGCTCTTGTCTTGAATG